AATCTGGAACAAATTTTCATTCAGACTCTTTGGATTTTGGTGACCAAAAGGTCAGAGGTCACCGTGTTCATATACGATATTTTTTGCCACAACTCAGGAATTAATTTGCCAATTATGGCCAAATTTGACACAAATGTCTAATAGTTTAAAATGCTGACATTTTATATCCTTCATTGCAACCTCATAATATTCTGCAACAACACTTTTTTGGCCGTAACTCTGGAGCAGAAGAAGAAACTTAAGGACCATATTTGCCAAATGGTTAAATATTGAATGATGCTAGTTTTGGATGCCCACCTTTAAATCACAGTGACTGTAAAGATCTTCTACACTGTTGGATTAAAGAGTGAAGCATCCATGTTTGGAGCATCGTCATTTGTCGTGGCTACAACTTTGTGTTCTATCAGAGTCAGCTTTACTGGCCAAGCGTGAAAACACAGACGTGAACGTAAACTAATAACATCATGCTTCATACTACTGTACATCCTTACACTGTATAGAGATGAAGTTGGCTGTGTTTGGTTTGACTCTCTGTCAGCTGTTGGGGTTTTCAAAGAATCAGCTGCTAATGAGGAGCATTAATTGGTTGGCGCTGATGCAACAAAGCTTCAAAGGTCTACTCTGTCGCACGCTTCCATTATGTTCCAGCAAATAAGATGCTTTCTGGGTACTAAAGTCGTATTTTGATGCAAATACTCATCCCAACTTTGCATATTGTGATTTAACGCCACCATATACTGTAAAACGTAGCTAAATGAACACTCTGATGTCGATGCAGACACAGAAAACACATTCAAAGTGTTAAAATGATCATGTATTCCCTTTGAACAGCACAGAAGTCGTGGGCTCTTCTCTTGCCCTGAGGTGTGGTCGTTCAGAACAGCTACAAACACTGTCTGCTTATAGTTTCCCCCGACATGTTGTCTGACCTACTTTAGGGGCTTTAACATACACAAATGTGCATCAGAGGGGCTGCAGATCAGGAAACACTCGTGTTTTCTTTAACTCTGCAGCTCCTCCCTGCAGGCTTGAGAAATCCAGGCCAGGATCGTGGAGGTAAAAAACTGCAGCACTCAGTTTGAGATCACTGCGGAGAGACGAGGACTGGGCCGCTGCCAACACAAAGTCACCTTCTTCACTCCTCACGTCGACTTGTTCTCGACTCCCAGAGCTGCTCGGCTAATGAGCGCCGCCGAGGACGCCATGTACAACCCGCGCATGTGCGTCTCTGCGTGTTTAAAGGGAATCTGATATTTACGACCCGTCCTCACGATGACGGACGCGTTCACGCTGTGTTAAACAAGACAGGATGACGAGGGTGAGACAAGGGAGAAAGAAGAAGATGCTTCTGTGTAACATACAGGGATGAGGACGCGTGCACTTGCTTTTTTCACGTGCACGCTCACAGCATGGACTAAAAACAGAGCTTTCATGCAGGCCTTTATGTTCTTAAGATCAGAGGAAGGACATAGGCTCTGAGGGAACATTGTCTGTCGCCCTCTATGCTTCACTGGTCACCTCTGCTATAGGGACTATATATAGAAACCCACCAGCAGCTCACCTTATTACGATAGTGATTTATTATCAGGTGAGCGTACAGAAACACCCGCAGGGCCCAAAACACTGGGCATGCATTTATATATATATATATTTTCCTATTTTTATTTCCGGTCTGATTTCGGCTCCAGAGGTGAAAGAGGAGCAAACGGTTCACCGGTATGGAGCTAATAATAACGACTAAATGGGATTTACAGGAGCTGAAGTGATGCATTTGGCTTTTTTTTTTTTGCAGCTTTTATTTTGTGCACATTAAGTTGTCATAGCAACCATTTATTTACACCATAATTTATCAAGATATTAATTTGGAATCATGTTCGTGTTTTTAGTTTTCAACTAGCTTAAAGAGAAACATCTGACTTTTTAGGAGCTAATCGGTTCACCAGTTCGTTTGCTGCCGAACACTTAGCGACAGAGTCCCTCCATTAAAACAGCTGCGTGGTTTTTGCCTGACATGGAGCTGATGAGTGAAGCAGTAAAGCTGCAGCCTGTAAAACCAACACAAGGAGTTTAAGTGCTCCACAGAGTTGTAAGGAATAATAGTTTGCCTACAAGCAGCCCCTTTTCACACACTAATACAGGCCTTTGTTGCAGGTAATGTTGAGTTTTTGACCTCTAATGGCGCTACGGAGCAGCTTTTCTGTACCAGTCGGGTGTCACACGTTTCAACTGATGGTGAAAAGGCGACAAGAAAACAGCAATGTGTGAGCAAAGGTATAAAAGAAGGAGACGTGCAAGTCAACTCGAGTGTGAAAAAAATCAGACTTTACAACTTTTCCATAGTTGCTATATTTATTATCGCAGCAGCATTGAAGAAAAGTGCACAGATACTCAATAAACCCTCGGCTGGGTTGTTTGTGGAATAAAATGTAAACTAAATAGGAGGATTTGTCCTTTATGGTTGAAACTGATTTGTACCATAAATGCATCAAGTCAATAAACACCAGTTAATTTCTGTTTAGAAGCTTTCTGAAACTGCACAAAACGATAAAAATAAGAATTTCCAGATGGTAGTTAGACTCCAGTTGGTTATAATGTTGACATTTTTGCATTATTTGTGGGGATCTGATTGTTTTTCTTTGTATGAATGAGTTTATTGTGGCTCATGATGTTTTAGCTTTCATTTCCATTTTCTATTTTCATTTTTAAAGTCATATATTTAGCTAAAAATGCACCTTAAAACAGAGAAAAAGATCATCTGCTATTCCCTCAAAGTCAAAATGAAAAACTGTGAATATGATTTCAAAATGAGCTCGTTGATAAATGTGCAAAAAATAAAGTAAATGGATCAAACGGCTGCATCTACACAAGCAACATGTTGATAAAAAGTGAAAACACACGACACTTATATCTATTTATTTAAGCACCTCGACCAGGATCAACACCAGGACCTATACATAGCACTGACAGCTGTTTATTCCTCCTCCAGCTGTAACCAATGCGACCCAGAATCCATTTTTAAGACGCGTGTTCTAATCTAATTAGTAACTCATTCATTTGTGTTTCCATCCTGGCAGAGGAAGAAGCAGGTCACCAGCCACCAAACAGCCCAAAACAAAAACACAACGTTGTTTTTAAAAAAAGAAAGACTCACATGGCTCTTGAACCGTGAATCCAGAACAAAAAGCCCTAATTCCTGATTGACATGCGTGCTTGTTTTTAAATGTTGTCACGTGTTTGTGGGTTTAACAGAGTCTCTTTAGCTGCAGAAGATGATGTAAAGCTTCACGTGGAATCACAACACGGAGGATGATCGTTATGTTTAAGGATTTTCACTTCGCCTTTCTTTTTATTTTGCTTTATCGCTCTAATTTTCCATTTTGCTCTGTTTGTGGCATGTATATCAGCACTATTAGTTGTGTTATTGTGTTTTTATCATGTCTATATGTTTAATATTTTCACAAATGAGCATTGCACTGAACTGTGCAGCTACATACTGTTATTATGGTTATTTGGTTTTTAATGCTATGATGATGGTTTCACAGTTGTCCAACATTTAATGCTTTTGTTGCATCATTTCTTAATCCTGTGCAATGAGTTTACAATTAGAAAAATCAATAATTCTTGCACATTTTCAAAGTGCAATCACTTATAAACTCATATCAGAAGGAGCTGTGGGTGGATAAAGGTTACTGTAATAATGCAGGCAGGATTTTTTCATAACTTTTGGTGGAATCTATAAGAATGCAATAAGCTGCTTTGCCTCATTTGAATCCGGCGACCCGCCTGCACTGGAGCTTCTCAATAACCTGCGCC